GCATGTGACATGACCTTGTTCGCCCCCTTATCATGCTGCGGCGTACGGCACTGTACTGCTTCTCTACTGGGACTGCTATCTGCTGCTGCTGCATGGCGTAATTCAAATTTAAATTAAACGCGGTCCAGAACCCCCCGTCTGTCTGTCTGTCTGTCGCTGCTCCCGCACCTTGCTGTCCACCCAGCCAACCCTTAGCGCCCCGGGTACCCCTTAGCGACCCATCGTACATTCCGCTGTGCCCGCCCCGCCCCTTCATCGAACCTGTACGACAGGAGCTGCCATGTTCGTACAATGCGTCGTGGCTTCGGAGGTCATGCGAGCATCCAGGTAATGAATGGCCTTCGCTGGTTGGTTGGTTGGTTGGTTGGTTGGTTGACGGGGGGGAAAGGGGTATGAGTGTGTGTGTGTGTGTGTGTTTTAAACTGGTGGGGAAAATGGCGATGGTTGCCGGGGGGGCGGGGATTTGGTGGTTTGCACCTCCGGTCCCCAACCCGCCCGCCCGGTACAGTGTAAACTATTCAGGTGGCGCTCAACACGGCAAACCGCTCCACATACGCTGAAACGTTCCGTATGACAGGAAACGTGTCTGGATACTTTTGAAGAGACACTAATAATAAACCTGATCAAAAAACAGGTGGCAATTAAAGAAGCAAGGCTTGATTTTGAGGATATCAGGAGCGCTAAAGAGCCAAACAGCTGAGAGGGGAATATTTACACAATCGGAGATGTTGATGTTGCTCATTACAGGGCTCCGTAGCTGGCTCATTAGTAATGTCGTATTCCGCTATCAGCCCGTATCCCTTGGTGCGATTCTGACCCCCTTTCCCTTAGCCTCCCCCGCCTCCCCCCGTTCGGCAGCTGATAGTCCTTAGAGATGTGGGCAGCAGATGACGTCATCGCAGCTTGCACGAAATTTAGCCCGCGGGGGCCCCCCCTTCCCGGGCCATATCCTCCACACACACACACACACACACACACACGCCCCGGGGCCCCCCCTAACCCCCCAGCACATTACGACAACAGGGACATGCCTGCTATTATCCCCTTCTTGAATTTTTGCTGTCCATCATGCGTTATTTACTGCACGACCAACATGTAACCGCAGCCCGCAACCAACCCGATTTTTCAGCCTAACAACAAACCAACAACCAACCAACTAATCCCAACCGCCACCTCTAACCACCCCTCAATTCATGTCCCTCAGAGGGCCCGTGAAGTGCGGGGGAGCCACACTGAGAGATCTAGGGATATATATCGCCAGCGTGGTGCTGGTGCTGACGTCGTTTGCGTACGGAAAAGTACGGATGGGTGAAGGTGTACGGCATGTGGGGAGGGGACGTCTTGTGGGAAAGATGTGTGTATACATACATACATACATACACACACAGCCGGACATGAGTGTGCGTGCCTTCGGCGTGGAGGTGGGATGGGGAACGGTTAAAGCAGCAGCAAATGCTAAAGCGTATGTGTGTGGGGGGGGGGGGAAGTCGGGGGTTCGGGTAGGGGGGGAGGGGCGTTGTCATTATATGATACCGTGTTTTATGCGTGTGCATACGGACAAGGAACCTTTGGCGCACATACAATATGTGTACTGTACGTATCTGCGTCTGATTAGTTCGTTTGTTGGTACTGGTGGGGCTTTGTTTGGAATTTTATGTGTGTGTGTGTGTGTGTATGTGTGTGTGTGTGTGTGTGTGTGTGTGTGCGCGCGTGCGCGTGTGTGTGTCTGTCGCGGCCCGGCGGGGGAGGGGAGGGTAAACCGCTGTGGGCACCTGAGAGCTGCCGACCCCTGGGCGCATACATACATACAGATAGACAGACGGACAGACAGACGGATGGACAGACAGGCGTGCACTATTTCCTTCCGCCCTGCCCCACTTCTCGCCCCCACCTGCGCCCTTCCCACCTCCCCTGCTCTACACACACACACCCTCACACACACGAGTGCAGATAACCTACTGGTTTATCGCTGGTGCCGTACTGCTGTACTTGTCGTACGTGGTGTGGGTTTCCTGGGAGACGAGTGGCTGAGAGGGGACGTCCGGGGGCGGCCCTGGTGTGGCGGAGTTTCCGCCTCCTCCGTGTCGAGCAGGTAGGGCTGTGTGTGGGGGGGGGTGGGGAAAAGGAGGTTGTGTGTGTGTGTGTGTGTGTGTGTGTTTGCGGGGTTAATTGGGCTCTTTGCAAGTACGTGTTTAGGCGGACTAAACATTGTGCTTGTGCGGAGTACATATGTGCAGTTTGCCTACCCTAACGCTCTCATGTATGTATGTATGTATGTATGTATGTATGTATGTATGTATGTCCATCCAATCCATTTAGTTCCATCTCTCGCCCCGGCCCCGGGGGCCCCGTGTGTGTGTATGTGGCTGGGGGCCTGCTCCTCCTGCTCCCCTGGGTGCTGCTGCCCCTTCCTAATGGTCTAACCTCCCCTACCTACCTGCCGGTTGGTTGGTTGATTGGTTGGTTAGGTTCAGTTGGTTTCGGAGGCGTCCCGCGGAGGAGTCCCTGCCCTGGGCCTTGGTAGATCTAGGGGGCCACGTTTCAGCTTCACCAGGGGGGCGAACGGCGGGGTACGGCAGGTACGGCAGGTAAGGAGTTGGGGGTGTGTGTGGTGCTGGGGTCGCGGGCGGGGCCTGAGGGGAATGTGAGGGGAGTTAATGTGTATGTGTGTGTATGTGTGTGTATGGCGGATATCAGTAGGGACCTTGGTGGGGCTGCGGGGGGGTGAAGTGGTAGGGCGGGTGGGGGGGAGAGGTAGCAGAGCCCGAGGAGAGAGAGGGGGGGGGCTTCGGGTGTATCCTCGGGGGCTGCGGGGGAGGCGGCCTTGCTTCTCCCCCTCCCCCTCCTCCCCCCTCCTTCCCCCTCACCCCTTCCCCCCTCACCCTGTGTATGTGTGTATGTGTGCCCGCACCCCCTCTGCTCCCCCTCCTCCTCCCCTTCCTCCTCTCCCGCCTCCTGTTGGTATTGATATTGATTACATGTATGTATGTGTGTATGTATGTAGGGAAGACGGCCAGCAGCTGACGGCGCCGCTGGTGCCGCATGGCGAGCACGACGAGTACGACAAGGACGAGGAGGACCGTGGCG